TAATAACACTAATTCTTAAAATGATCTTAAAATATAATGACACCAATTCTTAAAAAGTTCTTCAATTAATATAATTATTTTCATGTCAAACATTAATTAATTAGCTGGACTTAATTAGAAGTTTTTAGAACTTATTAGCTAAATAAATCTCATAATTATCTAAAATTTTAGTGATTTATTAGAATAAATATTCTAATTATTTTAAATAGATAAATTTAAATTTTATTAAAAACAATTTACTTCAATAAAGTTTAAGGTTAATAGAGAAATAGATAAATAAAAAGTAATCAATATTTAATTTAATAATAAAATTACGAAAAGTTTATTTAATAAAGATTTCAATGTCAATAAAAAAATAAATAAAAATTAATCAATATTTTAATTTAATAAAAAAATCATAATTAAAAGACAATAATTAATTTAATAAATTATCAATAATAGATATCTCGTTCACTATTTTTATTTTTAGGATTCGCACGTGTTACTCCTTGCTTTAATTAGTAAATTAGTGTTTGAAATGTTGATAAGTTCTTCTAAGATGGCTAATTAAGCTACAAGTAATATTATTTATTGAGTCCCACGAAACTTTCTTGTTGTATGTAGCAAAAAGATGTATGCTACTAGGAAATGGCAACACGTCACTTTGACGTAACCATATATATCATATAATTTCAAATGAAATAAAAATTTTGGACAAGTAGCTTTCAGATTTATTTGGTTGGACGGCGATGCGTTTTGCTTGTTTTTCCTTTTTATTTTGTAACATTCTTGTTGTTGGGTTGAATTTTCCTGCTATTTCGTGGAATTCAAGGTCTACAAATACGAATGGAGTTAATATATATATTGAAATACAGCTACCTAAATACACACTTTCTGCATGCATGTCACCTTTTATTCCTTTCTTTTTTTTTTTTTTTTTTGGGATAATTCATGTCTCCTTTTATTTCACCGGCCATTAAATCTACTTCCACAGCATCGTAATGGAAACTGACCTAATTAAATTGGGGTATATATACACTTGATGTTAATTTAATTTGATTATAGAAACCTTATTATAGTGAAGGGAAATGTTAGTGGGTGTTTATAAACACATATTAATTTAATATTTGTAGGAAAAAAATTAAAATTAATGCATACATATTTTAATTTGATTAAAAGATAATCTATTAAATGAAGAAAATTTATAAAATAATACCTTAACCATTGATTTTTTTTTTTTTTAAATGTAAGCATTGTATAGTATAAAAAAGGTGATGCACGATCAAATTGACTTTTTACATTCAAGCAAATTGGTTTATATTATTAGTATTCCTAGAGGCTTGAGTTTTTCTGTGAATGTCAACTATGGTTTATGTTTTCAAGCTTTGATAGCTTGTTATGTGACCCTACATGTCCTGTACTAATTAATACTCGTTTCCCTTGATATCTCTTGCTGTGATAAAACATGTTTTGGTCTAACGTTTTTTTTTTTTTTTTTTTGGGAACATTTCGTACGGGTCTACCATAATTGGTTAATTATTAAATGGGATTTAGTTATCTACACACTTGCAGGAGGATTTGCATTAATCGGAAAGTTTTTGGTTTATTGGCTAAGAAATTAATCTTAAAAAACATGTTAATCACAAGGTTTTTGATCTAATAAGTTTTAGAAAAACATATAATATGGGAGTTCAAATCCCATCATTCACTTCCCCTATCCTTTATCTAATAAACAAAACAAGGTTTTTTTTTTTTTTTTTTTCTAGCATTAGTTTTTAATCTTCACTCAATATTTTTTAATAAATTTAAATAAATTTTTCTATATTGAACTTAACGAATTGATGAAAAATTATTTTTATACTATTGAGTTCAAAAGAACAAAAAACTTCTTACCATTTGAGCTGATATCATTGATTTTTTAATTAATAATTAAGTCATGTAAGCATTTGTATTTTAAAAAAAAAAATCATGTAGGCATTTTTTGTCAAACACGAACCTCACGTATCCTGTTGAAAGGAGCAAATGACAAACTTGCAGATTTGAGGAAAGGTGTGAGAAGCTCGTGGCCATTGTATCAAAATGCTGCCAATAATCCTCCCTGCTTTGGAATTAAGAACGTAGCGACCTTTGATTTTTCACCTAAAAAGAAAATGACACATTTATCTTTGACTTACAATTTTCAATATTTGATCTTAGACTCAAAGCATGATGATTTCCAGTTTTCTTTTTTTTCTTAAGCCCTAAAATTGACTCTTCGATTTTTTTTCTCGGTTCTATAATTATTATAGTTTGTTAATATTTCTCTGATTAATGTGTTTCATGTGTAAAAATTTTAACACAGAAAATATAAATGATACAAGGTACAGCCGTACAAAATCTCTGATATTGAAGTACAGCATATATAAATAACATTATTCATTGGATGAAAGATATATTCACGAAATGCATGAATAGTTCACCATTTTTTATATATTTAAAATTGTTATAGATTAAATTTTGATAATTGAAATTAAAAATTCAATTCCCTTTAATAATGATACAATTCGCTTTTGACTAAAATTTGAAGATTTAATGGATAACTTCGAAAAAAAAGTCATTCCCACCACTTGTAATTGAAAATTATTAATATAATCTTAAAACCAAGGAATAATTATTTAGAATTAGTATAAGAGAGTGCTTTTTGAAATTGTTGTAGTCTTGAAATTACTAATTAAAAGCTAGATAAGAAAGATTTATTGCAAGATTACCAAAGATAAATGTTCACCAACCCAACATTTAATGGTGAGTTGGTAAGGACCAAGTACTATATTAATGTTTTATTTTCATGGCTCTACATTCTTCAAGTCCTAATTAGCAAAGCTTTTTGGCCTTTGGGAGTTTTCTGGCTTTCAAAAAATCACAATAGATTTGAACCATTGAATATTGTAGCAATGGTACGTTCTCTGGTTGAAAATCTCTATACATGCATGAAGCTCGAGGGATGGATTGTTGGCAGAAATCTTAATTCCTTTCAAACCATACCTCCCTCATGTATAAGATCTAGTTAACTATGATAATGGAGTTTAATAAATAATAATTAAGTGGCTTTACACCTTTTTATATAGTAAATAATTGTTGCAATTAATAATGCTATAATAGGTAGTAGCAATTTAACTTCATTTTAAATTTTTAAAAAGAAAAGAGGTGTATAATGACTTAAAATTGAAATCTTAATTTATTCAACCTAATTAAAAGTAAAATGATATATATTTATATTATAAGAGATTATAAAAAACAAATACGTTAAAATTTTAATCTAAATATGATCTTAGTTAATTTATATAATCATCTTTAAAAAATATTATCTAATAATTTTGAAATTTGAATTATATATATATGCATTGCATACCATTAATTTTGCTTAAGAATCCATTTTTAAAATTCAAATTTCATATGTATTTTAATAATTTACTAAAAAATAAAAAAAATCATACATTTCAAGAGAAACATGCATCAATTTGGACTTACAATAGGTGGTTAATATTTTTTAGATTGTCTTATGATGTTTGTATAAAGGGAATTTAAACATATTACTATATCTCTTTAAATGATTACGAAAAATATTATAATTATAAATTTAAAAAATTATTTATGTATGTGTATACTATATATAGTATGGAGGTAGAAACTTTTATATAGGGGAAATGAGAGATTAAATTCGATTTAATTAGAAAAGTTCTTTTTTCATGCCTAAAGGCAAAAGCCACCTTTAATTATAAGATAACCTTTTCACACATTGAGAAAGAGTGTGTTCAAAATCTTTGTACAGAGTATTTGGGACAGATAGTGAGTATGAAAGTTTACAAATTAATTAGGCTTCATAAATGTATAAATATTAATATTAATATTATCCAGTAATGGGTATGCTATTTTGTTTTCACATAGTGTTAATTGAAAAGAAATTATCTTATTTATTATCAATAAAATATTTAGATTTCACAAATAGAACATATAAAATAAGATTTTTTTTAAAAAAATTATATTAAAAATTAATTAAATAAAAAATATATGATAATTGATTTGTTTGTAAAAATAAAATTTTTCACAGATAATAAATTATAAATGAGATCATTAATTAATTAATATTACAGTAATAAATACTTCAATTTGACTGGGTTTGACCTTTCTCATATGATATGTTCCAAACAGTGGAAACGCTGTCCAGTCAATGACTTAAACTTATAAATCATGACATGAAATAATAAAATATTAACACCGTATAATATTCCTCAAAGAATCTAAATAAAATTTCACTGTTCCACAGTCCAAACCATGGAATGAAAAGGGTTATGCTATAATTTCTATGATGGTGGCCAAAGCTAAGGCATTATGGTCACATATAATATAATTTATTTAAAATATTTTAGTACTTTTTGGTCAGAAAATATTTTTGTAATATTCATTCTTTTTTTTTATAAAGATAAATATTTAGCTTTTAAAATTAATCATTTTTAAATTGTACTAATTAAAAAAAAAAACAATATGCTTAAATTGGAGAGATTAAGCTTCCCAGAAATTCACCAGGTATCCAAAAGTCCACTGTGGAAACCAGCTGTAGAGCAAAAAGAATTATCTGACGTGGAGGAAATCAATTGGACAGAAGCTGAAGAAAGTACGGGTGGTCGTCCACAGCAGAGCAGATATATATATCCGACCATGTGTGTTAAAGGGTTTGCCGTAAAGGGGACCAAAGATTTGACAAAGACAATTAGGTTTGGTTGACAAAATCAACTTTCATATATTCTAATACAAATTAGACAACAAAACAAAAACAATAAAAAAGCAGATTTCTTACCAAAAAAAAGAAGATTTATTTTTAAGAAGGTTCAACAGGAAAGACTTGAAAAACGTTCAAACCCCAAAAAATTGGTGGGGCAATACTCAACAACTCCAACATTCTTGAACTCCATCCCCTCTCTTTCTCTACTATAAATACCACTTCATTCTCTTCTTCAATTATCAAATTCAGCTGATATCTTAAGGTGCTTACATACAAAGAGCTAGAGATATATATATTTATCGAGAGATCAGATACATATATAAATAAATGGGGTTTTTCAAGCTATCCCAAGCTTTTTTCAGCTTAGCCACGCTGGGTTTTCTTCTCTTTTTGTTCTTGAGATTGTTATTCTCTTGCTGGATTCTGCCCATTCGAGCTTACCGCAAGATTAAGCGGAATGGGTTTGGAGGTCCAACTCCTAGTTTTCCACTGGGAAATATCGGAGAGATGAAAAACAATAGTAAAAACATTAATGATTCTTCACTTCAATCCTCTGGTATTTCCCATGATATACACTCCACTGTGTTTCCATACTTTGCTCGGTGGCAAAAATCTCATGGTAAGTCTTTGTTTCTTGTCATATGATTAACACCTCTAAGAAAAAAGAATGAAAATCCTTAATTTGTTAAAAGAACTACGTATGTTTTCTTTTGGTTGAGTTAGCGTTTGTGTTTGTCTTGCAGGAAAAGTGTTCATCTACTGGCTGGGAACGGAGCCATTTTTATATATTGCAGAGCCAGAGTTCCTTAAGAAAATGTCATCAGGAGTCCTGGGAAAGAGCTGGGGAAAACCTAATGTGTTTAAACATGATAGAAAGCCTATGTTCGGAAGTGGTTTAGTCATGGTTGAAGGAGATGATTGGGTTCGTCATCGCCATGTTATTACTCCCGCATTCTCTCCAGCTAACTTGAAGGTCTTTCTTAAATTCTCTTCTATATAATTTTCTCAAACTAATTAAAAATAATAATAAAAAAGAAACACTAATCTAAGGCTCCATCCTATACGCTTTCGGTGGTGGAAAAAGGTACCTTAATTTTGTTCACAAAAATGCATTTTCAACAAGTGACAGCGTCTCTGAAGTGTAAAAGTCTAATCTGTTAACCTGAAGGTTACTAAACAATTACTAATATACTGACTTTAAATTTAAATGGCAAAAGACGAATTTATGACCTAAAAAGAAAAAAATATAGAACATCTTTTTTTGGTATTGCCATTAAAACATCTTTACAAATTGAATGTACACTTATAATTACGTCTTAAAACTTATATATAATAGTGATTTTTATGTTGTTTTCTTTTTCTTTTTTGGATAAATGAATAAGTTAAAGGATAACAACTTAGGTTTGAAATCATTGTCTTTTTTGAGTTTCTCAAATGTATATGTACCAAGAGAAAAAAAAAAAAGACAAAAGTTAATGGGTGTACCATATCCAAAATTAATTGACTCTTGTTTTCCTTACATTAATTAAAATAATAGTATTAAAAATGGTAAAGACAAAGGAGAATTTATAAATTTTTTTGATAATATGTAGGCTATGGCAAGCTTGATGGTGGAACCGGCCGCAAAGATGCTAGACAGGTGGGCTACCCTAATAAATTCTGGTAAACCTGAAATCGATGTTGAAAGGGAAATCACAATAACGGCAGGGGAGATCATTGCAAGGACAAGCTTTGGGTTGAGCTACCAAAACGGGAGTAAAGTGTTTGAGAAATTGAGAGCCATGCAAATCACACTTTTCAACTCAAACCGCTATGTGGGTGTTCCTTTTAGCAAATTGATGTGCCCTAAGAAAAACCTAGAAGCCAAGAAACTGGGCAGAGAAATTGACCAGCTCCTTTTATCCATCATAGACGCTCGTAAGAAGTCTTGGGATGGATCCCCTCAGCGGGACTTGCTTGGGTTTTTGATGGAAGGGAACCATGTCGACGGACGGGTAGGTAAGAGCTTAAATGCAAGGGAGCTTGTTGATGAGTGCAAGACTTTCTTCTTTGGTGGCCACGAAACCACCGCATTGGCACTCACCTGGACATTGTTACATTTGGCCATGCATCCACACTGGCAAAACCAATTAAGGGAGGAAATTAGAGAAGTGATTGGTGATGAAGAGATCGATTTCACCAGGCTTGCTGGCTTAAAGAAGGTAATTCTTGATTTAGATCAGTGTTTTTTTTCCTTTTTATTTTCCTTGATTATTAATTAGAAGAAACTTTAATATCCATTTTATTACTTGATATTCACGTACACATATGTTGCCCTAGTCTTTTTTTTTTTTTTTTTTTTTTTTATGTTTCTTGAGTCATAGACTGAGAATTTTCCAATATCCTGAAACTCAAAATCTCGATCCGTGTTGAGTAGAATGTTCAACAATATATTCCATGTCAAAGGTCAAAGTTGGACCAATCGGTGACGTGTCATCAGCATGATATGTAGAAACAAACTGCTCCTTTTGACACTTTGGCAACTCCCCAATAGTTTGGACTTCTCCCACCACCAAAAAAAAACCCAAAAGAGGAGTTCAATTTGACCGTGTGCAAAGCGACACTTCAAAAACCTGATGATTCTAGTTTGGTTGGTTAGGGTCCCGAGTCCCAACCGGCCAACTTGGTCTTGGAGTCTTCTTGAGTTCTACCCATTTCATTGATTTTGTTTTTATTACGTGTACAAGTGTCATGGATTGATAAAACTATCTTCCTATGGTTACGTATTTAACGAATTAATTTCACGTGGAATTATTTCTTTTCTTATTTGATATGAGTTTTTCCCTTTTCTTTTTTTTTTTTTTGTTCAATTTGGGTAATATATAATTGTGTGGCTATTGCTTGCAGATGGGATGGGTGATGAATGAGGTGCTAAGACTATACTCACCAGCACCAAATGCACAAAGGCAAGCAAGAGAAGATATAAAGGTGGATGATCTAGTTATCCCTAATGGAACCAACATGTGGATCGACGTTGTAGCCATGCACCATGATCCAGCAATATGGGGTGATGATGTTAATGAATTCCGGCCGGAGAGGTTTAAGGATGATCATCTATACGGCGGGTGCAAGCACAAGATGGGGTTCTTGCCTTTCGGGTTTGGAGGGAGGATGTGTGTTGGAAGGAATTTAACGATGATGGAATACAAAGTTGTCTTAACCCTTATGCTCACTAGGTTTTCCTTCTCCCTCTCTCCAAATTATCGCCATTCACCTACTATCTTGCTTTCGCTGAGGCCTAGATATGGGCTGCCCCTCATAGTTCAACCCCTCTAGGCTCTTTTTTCTTCCCTTTTTTTTCCTATGGTATAATCAGATTAGATTAGGAGGATGAAGTTGATTCTTATACCTTAATTATATAAATAGTTACTAAAATGAAATCGAGTTTGTAGACCAAGTTCATATATTCTCTTCGTTTCTCATATATATGCCATGCATATACAAGGCGTTCAGGTGTTATATGTATTATAGTAAATGGAAATTAATAAAAGTATAATTCAACTTCTCGGAATTCATGATCTGCTTTTTTCGATTACATCATCCATATTTCTGTCTATTACTGTGAATATATAGCTCAAATATATGATATCTTCTTCATATTGTCTATTTGATACTTTTGTATACCTAGCAATTACATGGGACACTGACTTGCAGTGAACTGTTTGTACAAGAAAAAAATTTCCGCTTCGGAATCTAATTGGCCCTGTCCGCCTCGATTAATTTACGCGAGATGATTTGATGAGAAGATGTTAATAACAAAAGTATCAACCAAATTAATCAAACGAAATCTAATTAATTTTCATTCATGATCATGATCAAAAGTCAAAATACCTTCCGTCACCTTCATTATGACTCGTTTGTCTAAGACATTATCTTCTGCTTTACTCAAGAGCAAAAACCTAAAAGACTGGAGTACTGGACTCAGCTCTGAAGCATCTTGCTTCTCTCAGAGAACTCATGTTCTGCTCTTCTCCGGCCTCTTGTGCCGCCTTCTCCACTAGTTTTCAGTATTATCTTCTTTTCAAGTGTCTGTTATAACCACCCCTTTATCTTATCTTATAATATACAGTCATATACAGTAGTATCATTTTTTTTCTACAATCAAGATGCGTATGATCGTATATGTACGCCTTGTATGGTAATATTGTTTAATTTTTGTATTTGAACATAGAGAGAATGAATTGAAATGGAGGACCCACGAATCAAAAATGGATCTTTAACTACGATTCTTAAACTTACAAAAAAAAAATATAACATCATAATCATGATATTTTAACTACCACAGAAACGAGCAGACTGATTGAAGCCATCTCAACACAGACAAAGAATTTCAAGTGGTAAAACATCATTAATTTCCTGACCTAGTGATCATCAGCCTACCGAAGAAATATGTGGACAGGGATTAATTTTCAGCTTAATTCTCCAATAATATTTATCAAAAAAGTGTTAGACAGAACTAAGCTTCACCATCCCTACTTGAATGATCATACAGAAATTAATAGATATAATTCTAGTGCCGGTCTTGACCGGAAGCTCTGAAAAGACCGTCAACATGTTCATTTCCAGCTCTTCGTCAACAAAACATGAAAGCTCATTATGTGTTCTTTTGAATCTTATCAGACTAAGTCTCGCGAAATCATGACAATGAGACACTAAATTATTCAAGCAACATAATTAAGTTTAAAGGATTTTAGATCACGTCAGGATGGTGCTGTTTTCTCTATCAATTTGATTAGGAACTAACATCAAAGCTCTTTGCATTCATAATATATTAAGTTTTTACTGGAATTTAGGAGTTATTTCCAATGCCCAAACGGTTTTATTAATTTGGGGAATTCTGTGGGTCTTACTATTATTAGTTTGGGTAGAAAGAAAATGGCTAAAACATGGGATCTATAGTGGATATATTTCAAGTAGTAGGAGTAGTTGTAACTTCTTTTATTCCCGTATTTTGCCTGGCTTGGAAGTGGATATTTCCTGCTTGATCAACTGCAGCAAAGCTCAAGAGTTTCCTCTGTATCCATAACAAGGGACTTACGCCTTCTTGATCACCAATAGGCCACCTCCTCAATTCTCCTTTGTCTACTTCAAATGTCAAATCGTCATCCACAATTACACGGCGACACTGACATCCTACAAATCCTACTCTTAGAAGGAACAACTGTTTAAGATGAAAACTGGAGTCAAGTCCACTTTTTCTGCTTAATTTCTTCGCGTAATTTTCCGGTCTGCCAATAACCACAGCACCCTGGGGAGAGGAGAAAAGAAAACAAGGAAAAAGAACCCCTCATGCTAATCATGGTGTTTGCCAACATCAAGTTGCAGCTACATTTATATTTTATACAGTGTAGGGGGCAGTCCAATCCAATGGATCACAAGATAACCTCAGTTTTCCACAAACACGAATTTGAGAAGCAGCGAATTGCACTTTATTATGACATAAACTACTGTTATTATGATTTATCCCCACAAATAAAAATAAATAATAACAATAATTAAAAACAACAACAAGAAGATCCTAACAATGTTCAATCTTTTATATCCAACTGGAACTGGCACCTAACCTGGTTAATCATTATCGGATACCGGGTCTATAAAATTGAGCAACCTTAAAACAGGGGCAAGCTTGGAGGGAACCGAACATGCATCCATTGTCTTTCGTATGTTGATAAATGGCTCCATCCAATATCATCAAGCAAAGAGAGCTTCAATTCATAGAGTTTCTTCTTTGGAGGCTCTCCATCCTGAATCATGTCATTTAGTACCTGCGACAGCAGATTATTTAACTCAAAAAAAAGGGTCCTGCCATGAGTGCCCTGAGGGCACTTGTTTAGGCTTTCATTTGAAGAATTCTCCCCATCCAGTACAGGGGAAATTACCACATTTACAGTCAACTAATGCATTAATGTGAAAACCTTATCAACAGCCCAAGGCACTAATTATCATTTGCCTAGAAAACATCAGGGATAGAACATATGCCACACCTTTCTTGACTCAAATATGTTTCATAAATTTTTTATGCAGGCTGACAAGTTAAATAAAGCATCAGTTACATTTAAAATTTCAACAATTCAGGTTTCTCACACTCCTTAGTCCTTTCCCATCCTCCCATTTTTTCTTTCCCTTATTGGTGGGTTAGTGGCTTTTATTGAAAAGGCGGGGCAATTTCAATATCCATGTTCAAATCCCCCTCCCTAAATTTGAAATAAACAGTAAATACACAAAAAATAACCTAATAAACAAATAAAACAATAACTAGACAATGTTACTGTCTTTTCTGTCTTTTTTAAAGAAAACTAGACAGTGCTACTTGGATTATCATGAGAGAAATACCTTTAGAGCAGTTCCAAGTCTTCCACACCGTCTCTCACACAGTACAGAGAGGGTACCATATTTAGAGGACTTGAGATCTACCCATTTCGTCAGTTCTTTAAAGTTCTCCTCAAATAAATCTGACTGGATATCAGAAGAGACAGCAGATTGGCCACCAGTTTGGTCCAAGTCTTTTGTGCTTTCAGTAGCAGCCAAGTTTGAAGCTTTCTCACCCTATAATGGTGATGGCAACAAATTTTAATTCCAATGAAGATGATAAACTACCATAACTGATTTTGTTGGTACAAGTATCATATAATTGCAGATATCAGCCCATTTTTCAATAAAAGAAAATAATCAATCTCAGCAAATGGAGAAGCTATAAAAAGAACTACAAGAGAAGTATTCCCATTAAGTCCATTAAGTTGTAGACTATGATACAGGAGGATTTGTGCAGGAGTTATGGCAGTAGAAATCTTTGATTAAAATTAACAGGCCCACTCCCCTAAAAAGGAAAATAAAGCGGAAAGCAGAAGGGACAACAATGGCAATCAGAAACTGTTGTGCTTGTATATTAATGTTTTCGTTAGTTCACATGATGTGAAGAAAGCTATTTGTCTTATGCATTATATAAATCTAAGCCTTGGAGTTTCAGGCAGAAAACAAGCTAAGCATTCCTAAGTTGGGATTGTAGAAACTAGTGATGGGGCAGAAACAAGATTCCTTTACAAGACAGTTATAAAAGTAGTAATGAGGCACATAAATTTCCACATAAACAGAAAAAGCATGTCAGTAGTTAGAGAGACTAGTTAGAGATGTGGTATTTAAATCCTTCAACTCTCTCAAAAGTTTGGCCTTTTAGGTATGCGTGCCTGGACACACTTTTTTTTTTTTGTTCAAAAGAGGCAAATGCCGCAAATCTTTGAATTATCTATGCTGCTGAGTAGAGTCCCACATAGGAGGGAGATATGTTAGAAACATGTTAGTCCCTCAGCTCTATCAAAAGTCTAGCCTTTCGAGAGTGGTCATGGATTTTATTTACATGCCATTATTATTTCAAGTCCTCGTCTCTGCATTGAACTTGTAAAGTTCACTTTTGTTTGTGAATATATGTGTTTAAATTTCTTCCCTCTTTGTTAAAAAAAATAAAAGAATTATTTGGTTGTAACCACTATCAGTTAGAATATAAGTTGATTTAAATTAAAACATAACCAGGTGATACATATACCAGTCACTACCTTTACAGATTCAATCTCAGCCAGTGCCAGTCCTTTTTGGTACAGTGCCTCTGCTAATTGATCACAAATTGTCTCCATCTTCTTAATTTTCTGAATAAATAAAAAATATAAAAGGAAAGGCCACAATCTTGTATGTAAACCACAAATACTAAACATCCAGTGATGCACTAGAGGGGACAACAAAAAAAAAGAATGTATCACAAAGAGATGAGATAGCAGTGTGGACAACACATTGGAGAGTAGAAAGTAGAGACCATCAGAACTCTTGAAAAATAAAAATTAAGAAAATAATATGTTTAGCAACTTTAATTCTGATAATATACTTTGCTGAATTCCAAAAGAGGACTTGGCCAGCACGGTTAAGGGAAGGAGGAAGGGCAAATTGACAATTTAAATAAATACCTCTGCCTCCTCATCCTCTGGATCACTTTTAGGTGAAAAGAATTTTGCCAGTTCTTCTCTGTCTATACTATCAACCACCTCATTTGCTGCAATGATAACCTGCAAAGTTGAATTAAATTAGTTAAGGAAAATATTATATTTCAGATCTTCCCCTTTCAGTTTTGAGTATTGTAAAGTTGAACTGACAACCACTGATATTCTAGCCAGTATGTTTTGCTAAACACATAAACTTCAACCTTCTTCAATAGCTACAGTTTATAAAGTCAGAAGAAGTCTCATGCAAAGGCCTAAGGCTTCGAGAACAACCAAGAGTGAGTTCAAAAATTTAGGCTTCCTTGGGGCTAAGAAGAAACTTAAATGCTGCTATGCTTAAAAATACATAAATGAATAAAAGAATATGGAGGCTAACAACTTTAAAAAGGCAAACTTTCCACTCAATATAACTCTAACAGAAAAACGAAAAATCCTATTTAAAGTATGCATATACATCATTTTTAAGAGTCTATTGTGAAATGTGTTAAAATCCACTTGGAAGTAACTTGTGTGTTTCACCATATTA